GGACCAGGAGGAGTTGGACCAGGTGGGGTTGGTACTGGATATGGACCAGGAGGAGTTGGACCAGGTGGGGTTGGTACTGGATATGGACCAGGAGGTGTTGGACCAGGTGGGGTTGGCACTGGATATGGACCAGGAGGTGTTGGACCAGGTGGAGTTGGCACTGGATATGGACCAGGAGGTGTTGGACCAGGTGGGGTTGGTACTGGGTATGGACCAGGAGGTGTTGGACCAGGTGGGGTTGGCACTGGATATGGACCAGGAGGTGTTGGACCAGGTGGAGTTGGCACTGGATATGGAGCAGGAGGTAAAATGCAGAGCAAGCATATACTAGAATTCTAAAATAAAAACACAGATCATAAAGACACATTTGGTTGTTAAGATTCTTAATGTAATAATGGTGTATTTGCAGGATATGCAGGAGCCAAAGCACGCAAATATGGTGAGACAAGTTTTAAATACATTTACTGTGCTTTAATACATTGCAATATAATCAATTGGACAGCTATATATTTGATTGTAGATTGCATTTTCAGATTGGGGGATGGGAGTGCTTCTGTTGCTTTAGTAAATACACTATTTTTAGGTTAATTTGTGCTGAATCTTTTTGATTTTGATCCAAGCGCAAATGCTGGCAGGTTGGGATCTGCAGCAATGCATCTGGCTAATTTCTGGACTCGTCCAGCATAGATATGAGCTTATTCATGGGTGAACATCTGGTAGATAATATTTCACAAGCCCCCTGATGTACTAACTACCAAGGACCCTTCTTTTCCTGTGCCACGCAGCTCCCATACCCCACTTTTACACCAAGGCATGAGATCTTTTCAATCATGACCCTAAAATAGTTAATGAGAAACTGTTTTGACTTGCAGACAAAGAAGATCCATCGTTGGGACTTCTTTCCAAGAGAGGTGTTCTCAGTCTAGAAAAGATCAGAGTAAAGGCGAAGGCCCAGTAACTTTATGTGTAAATATCTAAGAGCGCATGGCTAAAACACAATCATGCAGTGTGCCAGTGTTGAAAATCAGTCTTGAAGATGTGAATTTCCTTATCCTCACCACCTTGGGTCTGTCAGTGTCTTTCTGACTATTCATGGACTGTTGATATTGACTTGCTCCTTGATGTGGCCCTTGTACCTGTGCTTTTCCCACTCAGTACTCCCATAGCCTAGCTGTAGGCCAGTGTGCCTCCTGATCTTTATGCTGTGTCCCAGGCACGATTGTTTTCTTATAGGCAGCATCAGGGCAGAAATGATCAAACTAATCCTCTTTGCAGGAGTGCCTGGAGGTGTAGGGGGTACCCTAGGTACAGGAGGAGCTGGGGTTGGAACTGGGCCCGGTACTGGATTTGGAGTAGGTGGAGGGATTCCTGGAAGAGGGGGAGTGACAACTGGTGGTGGCCCTGGATCGGGACTTGGGACAGCGGGGACACCTGGTACCGGCATTGGAACAGGAGGAGGGCCTGGTGGCTTTGGACCAGGTAGTGCTGGAGTTAAATACATGGTTTTGCAATAACTCTAGAGCAGTTAGTATTATAGTATTCTTTCTTTTTTTTCTTTTTTCTTTTATTTTTTTACCTGTTAGTCAATTCTTTCCTTCTTATTTCAATTAGGTACTTAAAAAAGAAAATACGTGGTACCTATTTACTTAAAAGGTTGCACATTTTCTTCACAATGAATTATTTTCAATAAATACAGACATAATTCCCAAGATGCAGGTTGACTTTAATATAACTGCATATTATATTCTACATGCAGGTAATTGTACCATATTCCCTTAGCTTGTGGATCTGGTCCCTGATTTTGAACAAATTGAAATAATTCATATGGATATGTGTTACCTTACCTTGCAAGCAGGATCAATTATTGGTAGATTTGCGAATTTACAAACTCATGAAAATACCTTCCACCAGAACAACAGATGCATTAGCCTCGATAAATAAATGTTTCTGACTGATGTAATGCAGTATGACGTCAACACGTCAACCAGAGATGGAAAGCTGAAGCAAAGCAATGATGGCTGCACTGATTTTACCTGGACTACCCTCTATTTCTCTCTGAAAAAAAAAAAGGAAGAGATTTTTGTTTTCTGGATAGGAAAGATCTTTACGTGTTTCTCATGACCAGATTTAGAAAAAGTTTGATTTATCAGTTGACTTTGCCCATTGTGAAACAAATAAAGAATGGGATACGACACAACTGCTAGCGCTTTTGTTATTGGCCCTGTGTGCCACTTGGTTCACCCAGTCAGCCCGAAGAATTGAATTGAATGTCCCTCCCTTTTGCAAACACTTTCAACAGAAGGCTTTCCAGATGGATACATGTAGATCAGTTTGAATTCTACAAAGTATCCATGTAGCTTATACCAGGTTATGTGTTAACAAAAACAACAAATAAGTATCATTGTTACATTTTTTAAAATGAATCATTAGTTGTCAAAGTAGGAAAACACTCATCCAAGCAAAGCATTTGAAAAAGGTTTGTAAAGCTAAAAAGGGCAACCAGAGGACAGACAACAACATTTAATTCAGCATAGAATAGAAGTCAAATAAACTGATGATATTAAAGCAAAACCCTCTTATATATGTTTTCCCTGCTCTGTTTCCTAGGGTATCCTGGTGGTGCAAAGTCTCTCCAATATGGTGGGATTTTATATTTATATCACTCATTTAAACAGGGAACACAAATGTTTATTATATTAGGATAATGTTTATTATATTAGATAGATAGATAGATAGAATCAGTGTTAAATTAGTTTTAAATCCTCTACTTGGCAGGGCTCCCAGGTGGAGCTGGAGCTCCTGGATCTGAATTTGGGGGTCAAGGGACTGGAGGGGTTCCTAATGTCAGCAGAGGACCAGGAATTGGCACAGTAGCTGGAACGGGTTATGTTCCAGGAGGAGGTTATGGAATAGGCACAGGAGCTGGATATGGAACAGGTTTAAAGAAGGCATTTTCATCTTTAAATACATAGTTTATTTTAAGCATGTAAAGGTATAGTATG